ACTCTTGGACGGCAGGGGGCCAGAACAGTCCATTCATGGCTGGCACATGGCCAGAAAATCCCATTCATGGCCAGCAACTTCCACCTCTGGTTTGCCAGAAAAATCTGCTTTTTGGGCCCGACTTCCATCGAACATAACTCCTTTATCTGGACTCCTTTGCAGGTCATTCTTGAGCCTAAATTGAAGCCCTTGAAGTATTATTTCCAATGGTGGCAGCCTAACATCAAAATTCAAAAGTGTGCAAGGAGATATCCCTCTTTTAGTGAAGACTGCTCAGTTTCGATCCTACCCAGATTCATGCCGAACTCCTCCCAAACTAGTTTTCTTCTCTCCTCTCCAATTTTCTTCAAACCCAGACCCCTAAATAAAGTGTTTTGAAAGATTTTTCGGAGATTTCACCTCTTTTTCATTCATTTCCACTTTGTCCTTGCTCGGTTTACCGAAAAGCACAACATTTAACAAAATGCGAGCGTCGGAACATCGTAGGAAGCTTTTTCAAAACTATTTTGAAAGAGAGGGTTTTAAGGTCTGAAATCTTTTTGTCAAAATCATTTTGGCCCAAAAAGGGGTGTGAAGTTGGGATTTGAAGCTCCTCTTGCTGAAGAAATCGAACCTTTGCACTGCACAACTTTCACCACCAAGTAAACAATCAGTGGCGCCCAAGTCTTAAGGGTAGTAAAAAATGGGGTGTCTACAGTTGCCCCTCGTTGACAGAGCTCAAAGTCATGAAGTGACGTGAGTGAATGTCAAAGCCCAGAGACGACCCATTTTTGACAAGGCCGAAGACTTCGATAAACAAACAAAATATAAATGCAGTTGGTTAAACTCGAGGGTTGCCTACGTATCCCTTTGCAAGGAATCAAACCTGTGTAGTTCAGGGGGATGATGCAAAATGATACGCAATATAACAAAACAGTGCAATGATATAATCAAACCACAAGCAGTGCAAAACCACACAAATATCATAAAGGGATGGAGATGCAAAATCAAACTACGTTGAACACAGAAAAGGTGCCGGAACCCTCAAACCACAAGTCTCTTAGTGGAACAGGCGTGTGCACATGCAGAACTGTGTGTTTCGCAGAAAGAATACAAGTAATTGGGTGGCATGATATAAGTGAGGAATGATCTGCTGAGGAAAG